TAGTATACTCTCAAGTTTTTAACATTTATCTATATTTAATAAAGTATGAATTCGAGACATACTTTAGCTAAGTAAATATAAATATAAATCGTTAAAAAATCAATACTTATATAAGAAAATCAATAGATACTGGTACCTTTATATATGAAATTTATTAATATGTTTCAATTTCTACTAAAAAAAAACAATACATATCGATGCCTACTAAAAAGAAACAATACTTATTGATATATATTAGATACTTACTAAAAAAAAAACAATATTTATTGATATATATTGATATTATAGTAATATCAATATGTTTTGAAAAATATTGATACTTTTTTTTCTATAATATATTCTAACTTAAAAATAGTCAATTGTCTTCATCAAACCTTCTATCGATCTAATGTGATCGATTATTAGAGTCTAATATTAAGAAGATTAGAGATACAAGAGGAAAAATTCCAAATGCATCAAAAAAAATAGCTAAAAAATTTCATATTGGTACTTGCTGTATATAGGAGATATAGGAACATAATAAATGTTTCCAACAAGGTCTTAATAATCAAAATGATTTCTTATTACCATCTGATTCAAATGAAGGTCTCACATTAGATAAGTCTCAAACTAAGAAGATTTTAGCTAAGAAAACATTGACAAAAAAGATTAGCTAAAAAAGGAAAGTTTTATCAGATTCACATATAGTAGGCTCAAAGAGTGATAGCTCTGCAATAGAAAAAAATATCTCTTCTATAGATAGGTTCAAAGAACTACAGTGTATACAAACTTTGTTTGATACATTTAAAAAAAAAGCAGATCTTGAAAAATTAATGAAAGATACTGAAAGATTAGCTCCTATATACCTATCTTTGCCTCAGTAAGCTGAGAGCATCTTTCTGCAAGAACTCTACTTGCATTTAGAGCTATATCAAGTTACTCTTCAGTTTTTATGAATCGCTTTTCAAGTAAGTCATATTTTTTCTTAAATTCTCACCATCATATATATCTGAAACTTGTTGCTCTGGTTTATTAACCTCTGTAGCCTTGCTAAAAGTTGGGATAGTATAAGTCTTCCTATGTAACTTTATTTGAAATTGATTTTTATTTGAATCAAGAATACCTTGAACTTTTCAAATCTATATCATACCTAAACATAACATTAGTTCAGGTTCACCATTATTAATACAAGCAAAATTTCCAGTAGCTGTAACAATTTTATCATCTTTGTCCTTTACACTAATTGGCACATCTGTATACCATCCTAATAATTCGAATATATGTTTAGAATTACTCTTTATAGTAAAGTTAGAAAGCTTATTAGCTTTCTACCCTAAAGCATTAATTGTTGTATCATTTACTTCTCTGAATTCACTCGTGCTATCTAAAAAGGAATTAGTGATCAATAGATCATTTATATTACAATGCAAGTATTGCAATGACGAAAACTATTTATCTGATTTTGATTTTTTTTCTTGGACTATATGAGACTGACACATTTTACGCATTGCTAGTAAAAGCTTTGGTAATAGTTCATCATACGTTTTAGGCTAACTAAGTTCTGAAAACATTTTTTTATTTACCAGTACCTATTTTTTTTTTCTAACTAAGATGGAGCATGCTATTTATTCTCTTCCTAGTTATATCTACCTTCTTCATTCTCATTATCATCTGAATCAGGAGATGTATATTAGGATTGGAAAGGTATTAGAAGAGAAAAGTATCAATATATTGAATTTGATTTAGCTATGAGTTTTTTGTTATCAAGTATCATCCTCCTGAATTGAGATATCATTTGACTGATTTCATCTACTTTCGACTCTATTTTATCTATTCTGGCATTTTGATTTGATGAACATAATCATTCTGGTTTACTTGCTATGAGTAGAGAAAAAGCTTTATCTAACCATTGTAGTGCTTCCTTTCTAGAAAGATTTGACCATCTAGGATCTCTCTGATCTACATAAAATTCATGTATTTGTTCATGATCTTTGGATGGAACTAGAGAGTGAGATTTTTTGGATTGTTAGCTCATTTTTGATTCAAATTTGGTTTTCAATTTTTCAATCTTGGCCTTGAATTCAGCTTTCTGTTTTTCTAACATAGCTTGAAATGATTTTTGTATTTCATCATATGAGGGAAATACTAGTTGTAAAACTATAGATTGTGATATAATACTGTTATTCTGCTTTGCTAATGATTTTTTTTTTGGTTATGCTTGATCAGAGTTTTGATCTACATATAAACTAGAATGTTCAAGCCATAGATTTTTTAATAAAATGAAAAATTTATTAATACCTGCTATATTTTCATTTCTCATCTAACTATAAAGTTCTTGATCATCTGATAAATGAGTTTTAAGAGTTCCTAATACTCATGCATCATTATTTGCTATACCTAATAACAGTGAATGAATTCGGGTTTCATAGATATCAGAATTATCAAAAGGTTGGAATCTTTTCTGAGATAATCTTAAAATAGCTGATTGGCTAGTTCCAACTATTTCTCATTGATATTTTGCATTTAACCATGCTCTTAAAGTATCTGAACTATCAATATTAACTGCTAGATTTACAAAATTATTTTGAGGTAGTACTGGTACATATTTTCCTGCTATTTTACCTTTTATAATTTCAACTTTGATAGTATCATCAAAATCTTCAGCATTTGCATTTTCAAGAGCCATTATATTTGGTATAGCAGGTGTCTATGCCTGTATAATCATATCACAATAATCACTAGGTAGCATTTAACCTATATATTGTAGAATTGGATTTAACAAGATAGATACATATTTCAATATAGTTAAACGTCTTGCTTCTGCCATATTGTATGGATTATTCTGTAGTACAAAAATTTGTTAATTTAAATTTAAAATATTCTGGCGAGAATTAATTTCTCGAGTCTTCTATTTTTGATATTGATTAAATACCCAGATGCGATTGAATTCTGACAAGTTAGCCTCAGCTTTGCACCTTTGATATATTAGCTGAAGGGCTAGCTTTTCTCCTAGCAACTCACCAATATGGGTCTGCTTTCTTGCTATATTATTTATCATTCTGTTTACTTGGTTTTGAGTATTAGTTCGTAACTGATCATGCTCTAGCACTACTTGATCATGCTTCTGCCTGTATATATCATAATAATATTGCATATTCACTAGGTCTTGTTGCAAGTTAGTATATTTATGTCAAATTGACCTTGTTGCTCTTTTAATTTGATTTGTTAAAATGGTTTTACATATTGTTGTATCAGCAAGAGATAGGTCTATAGCATCAGCTAACTCTGCTATTGTAGCCATGTCTAAATCAAAATTATATAAGTCTGAAGAATTTTCATCAGAATAGGAATTAGATTCATTTTCATTAAAATTTTATGCCTGTACATTTTGTAAAGCCTCTCGTGTATTTGTAAGTTCTAATCTATCTCGATATCTTAATAATGCTAAAGCAAAATTCTGACAAAGAAGGTCAAGTAATACAATTTTTTTGCTAAGTTATTTTGTTAATCCTATTTATTTGGTTAGTCCTGATTGTATTTATTTCTTGTTTAAATTGCTCATTTTCATCTACTAATCTTGTTGTATAATCTTGTGCTTTAGAGGTATTACTAGCTGATTTTAATATTTTACGAATTCTGGTTTTTAATTTTGTCACTCGTTCATCGAATTCTGATATTAACTTATCCTTATTAGAAATCTCCTTATCTTTCTTTTTATTTTCTTTCTCAAGTTGGTGAACGATTCTTTTGAGTTTTGAGATTTCTTCTAATAATTCTTCTTTGTCTTGTCTAGAAAGCTCGATAGTATTATTTAACTCTTCTTTAAGATATTATATCCTTTCTTCGCGTATACCTATAACTCTTTCTAAGATATATAGCCATTGTTCGAAATTTCTATTTGATTCAGCTAATTGTGATACCACCTTATAGAGTTTCTGATTAGTTTGTTGTAACTCCTTCATATTTTTTATTACTATAATAAAACAAAAGAATAGAGAAACCTATAATTTATATTGATCCACAAAGGGTCCATGATTTGGATAAGGAGATTATTTTGCAAAAAATTTATTATAGGCCTGAAGGTTATTATCAGACTGCTAAAAAAATGTGTGATGTATGTAGAAGGGCTAAACATAATTTTTTATTAGCTGAGATACATAATTGGTTAAATAAGCAAGCTATTTTTCAGATTCACAAGCTACCTCCAAGGTATATTCCTTGAGTTTCATTTAATACAATTCAAATTCCTAATGAATATCATCAGGCCGATATTCTCTATATGCCTTATGTTAAAATTGGAAAAATAACCTATATGTTTTGTCTTAATATAGTAGATATTGCTTCTAAGTATAAAGCATCAGTTCTAATTAGAAATATTATTCCTAATATTGATGTAAACTGGTTAAAAGCTAAAGATGTTAATTTAAAAAATATTTTAACTTCTAATGCTATTACTAATGCATTTAAAAAAATCTATAATAATCTGACATGTCCATTTTCTTACTCTAAATTATTGTTAACAGATAAGGGTTCTGAATTCAGAAAGGATTGTGAAAGATTAATGATAAAATATTGTGTAAAAATTCAAAAAGCTAATTCTAAACATACTATAGGTATTGTTGAAAAATATAACTGAACCTTATCAGAAAGACTATTTCAAATACAAGATACATCAGATTTGCTATTGCCAATATCTAAAAGATCTAGGGCTTGGATAAAAAATCTTCCAATTATTGTTAAAGAACTTAATAATTCTGTAACTCAACTTCTTAAAATAACTCCTATAGAAGCTATACGAAAGAAATAAATTAATGCTACATCTTCTTTACCTCGTAATGATTCTGTTGGATTTGATGAACTTCGATTATTTTATAATATTTCAGTATAATACTTACTTAAACCAGGTAAGTTAGAAGGTGGAAGACATCATGCGACTGATTGTAATTGGTTTCCACAAGTTTATTATATTCATAAAGCTTTAGTACAAAAAAATCAAGCTATTTTATATTGGCTTAAAGATAATGAGAACAATAAACCAAAGCGATCTTTTGTTAGAGAAGAACTTCAAATTATTCATTCTAATACAGAATTACCTCCTCAGTGGGTGCTTACAAATTAGACCCAAAAGAGAATCAAAGACTCATAATAAGAGACATTTGTGGAATAGTTCAAGTTGGTGTTCTTGGTCTTTTATAAATTAAGAAAATCTTCTGCTTCTTTATTGATTTGGGCTTCTTTAATGAAATAATCTTTAGCTAAATTATAATATAATTTATATAATTTCATAATAGAAGTAAATATCTTTAGGTCTTGTCTGTAAAATTCTTTGTAATCATTCATAGTTTTATTATATTTGTTCTCATTAGAAAATATAATTTGAGCTAAGCTTTTTATATATTCTTCTAGATCTTCTGCTTAGCGTAATTTTATAATTCGCTCTTTATAACTTTGTATGAACTTACCTTTTTTTAGCTTTTTATAATAGATGCCTGCTTTAACTACATTAATTAAAGCTTGCTCAACTTCTTGATAGGTAGGCTTAGTTTAGATATCTTTTGTATCTTGAGTTTAATTATTCATTGTATATGCGTGCTAGTACAAAATTCCTTATTTGTTACTTATAATATATTTTTATTCAATTTGAAACTTAATATGTAGTAGACATATATAAAAAATGCAGTTAGGTAAATATATATGCAATTTCTTTTTATATACTGGAGAGATATATGGACGGTCATATATGAATCCTAAAAAGTGATGGCTTCATAAAAATGCTATTAGGCGTTATCTTTGTACTGATTGTGGTAAACCTACTTGGTCTAAAAGTGGTAGATATCCTAACTATATTAGAAGCTATTATGTTAGCAAACATTATCAAAAATATTATAAAAGGAAAATAGATACTTAATTTTTAGTACTTTTAATTAAATATGATATCAGGTGTGATGATGGAATTAATTTTTTGTCATTATCTGATTTAATTATAAAATATATAAATAGTAAGTTCTAGCTATATAATTTTTAGTATTCAGATTTTTATATAGGTACTAAAGAGTTGTTATAGAATATAGGTTTACAAAGATATGAAAAGGGTAATATGACTACTTTGATATCCAGGATACCAAAAAGTGTGTCAGAACTCCTAATTTTGCTCTACTTGACTCTTAAACAGCTAAATATCGAACTGCACAATCAAATTCATCTGATGAGGAAGAAAATTTTGGTCTAGAATTACTCTTTAATCAACTAGAACTACAACAATTACCTCCTAATCAACTGCAACAAGTAAACATGACTCAACCTAATCAACAAAACTTTCAGGAACTTACTGATACTCTTACCCAATTGATCGCTGCTCTGCCTAATACTACTACTGCCTTGACTAACAATACTAATACTATCAATAATCCTCCTAGAAGAGAGGCTTGAGTAATTGATTTACTCTACTTTTATAGTAGAAATCAGAACCCTATAACTTGGCTCACTGAATTTAACAAAGCCTGCAATGCTAATAGAATTACTGATGACAACAAGCTTCAAGTTGTACCTGCATATCTTAAAAGAGCTGCTGCTACTTGGTAGACTAAAAACCAAATATTGGTCAATACTAGTCCTAATAGAATTAGACAATAGGATAATGATAACCCTGCTTATAATACTAACTTTGTCATTAACTTCCTCGCTACCTTTCATTCTCAAACCCTAGTTAAAATCTAGACTACTGAACTTGAACGTCACCAACAACACCCTGGTGAATCTGTTAATAACTATGCTGCTGCTCTATTAGAATTATATAGGAAAGTAGTACATAGACCTTTTCAATTCTCTGCTCACTTCAAAGCCTGTAAATTTGTGAATAGACTCTTATCTGAATTATATATTAATGTCAAACCTCATAATAATACTGTCTGGAATAATGCTATTAATCATGCCAAAAATTATAAACTAACATATCAGGATACTAATGCTGTAGCCTCTTACCTCAATAAATATATAGTACCTGTTTAACAAAACAACCAAATGAATCAACTCACCCAAAGTCTACAGGTCTTAACTCAATATTTACAACAAATGAATACTAGACCTCACTGTAATCCTAGAAATAATAATAATTATCAACAACCTCAGGCTAATTAACCTCAACCTTATCAACCTGAATCTTAATCTCAAAAGCCAAATAATTTTGTTTGCTATCAATGTGGTCAACCAGGACATACTCATAGCACCTGTCCTCAAGTTCAAAATATGAACTATCAAAATATTGTACCTCCTGTTGCTAACTCTGTAAACTCTGTGAACCCTATAAATTCTGTACTGAATAATTAGTAATCTGCTCAATTTAAACAAGCTCTACAAGTCAACCAACTCTTGCAACTTCTTATTTAACTTGTACCTAATAATCCTATATAGCAATTTCAACCTCAATCTATAATTCAACCTCAGGCATAAGCACTGCCTATTAATCAACAACAACAGCAAGCCCAACTTTACTATCTAATACAGCAAACTCAGGTACAACAACAAGTTCAACCACAGCAACAAGCTCAACAACAACAACAATAGCAACAATATTTAAACTAGGAGGTGTACCTCATGAAGGTGAATATATAGCTCAATCTACAATTCTCTCTAATATAATGACTCTGGAAACGTACCCTCAAAAAGACAATAAGTTGAATAAAGTGAAAGGACTGATGACTCAAATAAAAAAGAAATAACTAAGAACGTTAAACAAAAAGGAAAAGCAGTAAAAAGGAAACCAGTAGCTATGCCATCTGTAAACCAAATGATTACATTCTACACCCCTCAACAATTCTTCAACCAACCTGCAAATATAACAAATAGATAATTATTAACAATAAACCCTAAATTTAGTAAAGCCGTAACTGAAAAGCTTAGGAAACTCATAACTAAAAAAGTACTTATAACTGAAAGTACTGATAAAAAGAACACTAAGGATCCTTCTGATAATACAAATAATAGAAAACTATCTGAACAGCCAATTGTCTCAACTCTCAATGATAGTGACCTTGAGTTTATGAAACATAATAATTGACAACCAAGTAGAAGTTTAATTAACACAAATCTAAACAAAGCAATAGAGGAAAAGTCTACCTCTTTATATTGTGATGCCACTATTAAACATATTAAATTCTCTCTTATCATTGACTCTGGATCAGCTAGAAGTATAATGTCTCTAAATTTACTAAAGGACCTAGATATAGAAATAATACAAGCCTCTAGAATAGTAATGATTAATAGAAATAGTGAATGTCATCGACCTCTAGGAGCAGTCTCTGATATTTTTTTGAAAATAGATAGTCAAATAATCCTCTTTGATGCTATAATTACAGAGTATAATTTCTATAGTGCTATTGTAGGAAATGACTAGTTAAGGAAAACAAAGGCAAATATAAATTACAAAGATAATACCATGACTATCTACTGGAATAACAAAGTAATCACTATTAAAATTGAATCACAACAACTCCCTTACTATGAAGTTAGCATTGAAGTCTCTGAACTACCAAAGAATAAACCAATAATAGAGGATGAAATAGTGGAATCAGATGATGAGGAAGAATATGAAGAGGACTTTGATTTTAGTGAAAGCCTATTTTGCTATGCTGAGGAGGAAGCCATAAAAATTAAACAGAAAATCTATAAATAAGTCTATACTGAATTCAATACTGAGTTATACTATAATGAACCTGAGCTAAAGTCTAAGGATAAACCAAAGGAACCAGATAAGAAAAAATATAACATAGATGAATTAGAACCCTAGAACAAACAAATATTTTTAGAATTCATGAAAGGATATGATGACCTATTCATTTAAAAACCTTATAAATTTGGAAGGACTAAAGCTATAACTCATACTATCTTCACGGATACAACTTCTATTAAACAAAACTTCTACTGAATCTCGTATAAAAATCAGCAATTCATTAAGGAGGAAATTCAAAAATGCTCAAGCATAATTTAATTGTGCCTAGCAAAAGTTCTTGGACCTCTTCAGTTGTAATAGTTGATAAAAAAAAATAGAAAACAATGATTCTGTGTAGATTACCATAAATTGAATGCTGCAACTAAAAAGGATAATTACTCACTCTCTCGAATTGATGATCTACTAGAAGCCTTAGTATACTCTAAATAGTTCACTAGTTTGGATATAGCTAGTAGATATTGGCAAATACCTATAGAATCTCAGGACCAGGAAAAAACTGCTTTTATAACTCAGTTTCATACTTATAAATTTATAGTCATGCCTTTTAGGTTATGTAATATACTAGCAATATTTCAAAGATTAATAGATATAGTCTTAAAGGACTTGCTCTGGAACTTTGTAGTAGTATACTTGGATGACATTAACATTGAATCAAAAACATTTGAACAATACTTGGAACACCTTAAACAAGTGTTTGAACGTCTCAAGGAAGCTAGTTTAAAGTTAAACTCTGAAAAGTATTTCTTCTTTAAGCAAAAACTACCCTTTCTTGGTCATATAATTAGTGAAAAAGGTATTAAAACTGACTCTTCTAAAATACAGGCTATACAAAACTATTCTATTCCTCAAAACACTATTCAACTCTGAGAATTCTTAGGCCTTGTATCCTACTACTGTAAATTTATAAAAAGCTTCTCTAAAATAGCTGAACTTTTGAATTGATTACTCAAAAAGAAAATAGATTATGTCTGAACTACTGACTAACAAAATGCTTTTTAAAAATTAAAGGACTGCTTAACAACTTCACCTATACTCACCTACTCTAACTTTGAGGAATCATTCTTGATTTATACTGATATATTAACTATTGCCTTAGGAGCAATACTCTTACAAAAGGATAATAATAATAAGGAGCATGTAATAGCCTATGCTAGTCAAACTCTAAACTTCTATGAGAAAAATTATTTAATTACTGAACTAGAATGCCTAGCAGTAATTTGGTCTATTAAACATTTTCATCATTATCTGCATGGACAAAAATTTACTATTATCACTGATCACTCTGCATTAACTCATCTCAAAAATATAGCTAACCCTACTGGATACCTTGGACGTTAGATAATGGCTTTAAATAAATATGATTTTGATGTAATTAATCAACCTAGACATGTGTATTCTAATGTAGATCTATTAAGTAGAATACAACTTTAGGAAGCAACCTACCTCTAATTTATTAACTAGTTATTAC